AATACTGAATACTGCATACTGAATAGTGCATTACATTCATTCCTTACTCCCTTTTTTGTTCATTTCTTTCCTCCTTCTGCTCTTCATTTCCTCCCCTTCGTTCTTTCTTTCTTTCTTTCTTTCTTTCTTTCTTTCTTTCTTTCCATTGTCATTTCTCCTTTTCTCCCTTCCTCATTTCCTCACTTCTTCTTTCAGCTTTTCTTTACTCCATTATTCCCTCCGTTGTATTTTGATACTGAAATAAAATCAGTAAAATTTTCTGACTATTGCATGGCACTGTCTTGCCCAATGAAAAGAAAGAAAGAAAAAAATTTCCAGCTTGGTATAAAACAATTTATAAATGAATGACTTGAACTGAGTGAAAGTTCTTTAAATGAGTTCTTTAGTCAGCTAAACGAGGCAAATATGTTTTATTGTCTAGATTTAGACCACCTGTTATCACTGGAATCACTTCTTCTGGACTCAAATGTCAACTTGTGTGCCCTGCCTGGAACATTACTGAAAATACCATATCTATCTACACTTGGTATTAACAGGTAAGAGTCTCTTAACCCATGCTTTCAGCTGCTTATATGTATACATTGATTCATTCTCATCAGTCTATCCATAGAACCGTTCTTCTTTACATTCATTCATTTATACGCTCACCCATCCATTCATCCATCCATTTATCTTCCCATGCATCCATCCACACTCCCATTCATTTATGCATGCATGCATGCATTTATTCATTCATACACTCATCCATCCATTCATCCATCCATTTATCTGCCCATTCATTCATCCACGCTTCCATTCATTTATACATGCATGCATGCATTTATTCATTCATACACTCATCCATTCTTCCATCCATTTATCTTCCCATGCATCGATCCACACTCCCATTCATTTATACATGCAAGCATGCATTCTAGCATCCATTAATCATTTGTCCATCCTTCCATCTGTCCCTCTGACCATGCATCCATCCATCTGTTCTTTCCATCTATTTTATGTATCTCTCCTTTCATTTTTCCTTAAAATCATTTTTCCATCCATTCTTCCATGCCTCTATCTGTCAATCCATCCGTCCTTGTCCATGCATTCATCCATCCATCCATCCATCCATCCATCCATCCATCCATCCATCCATCCATCCATCCATCCATCTGTCTGTCTGTCCATCTGTACGCCCATCTACCCCCTATCCACCTACTTTGTGTTAAAGAACCATTCAATTTAATGATTCTTCCCATTGAATTAATGATAGCTTAAAAACCTTTTTTATTCCTCTTCCTTCTCAAGCTGTGGCCAACCCGCCGACGATAAGACCAAAGGTAATATACAATAAAGCTAGAAATTCAACATCAAAATTAAATCAATCATTAAACAGTAGTAGTCAAGGATAAATGACTTGAAAATGATATTTTTGTCACATGTTACTTCATGTAGAATACTGAGATGTGAATATCACATCCATTATTTGTGCTAAACAAGATGATATACCATATATGATGTAATGGGGTTCAACTGACTTCTTTTCATGGCAGTCTCACAAGTATACATGTATGGAAAAGGAAATGAATTTGCTTAATCATAGATTCAAACCTGCAAAAGTCGGAAATTGATCCAGTGCACTTGTAAAAGCTTTGTACTACTTTGCTGTACTCTTTACCCTGACTCGCTGTTGGTTTTCTTTTTTCCCACCCACCCTTGTACTGTTTTGGTTCTTGGGAAAGCTCTACCTGGTTTGCCTCTTCAATTCTCAATCAGGAGTACAATGTACAGTGGGATTGCAGTGAATAGAACACTACGTTAGAGTGACCACAGTAAATCCGTGAAACTTTAGTAATACTAAATAGCACAATTTCATGCAAATTCCATTGTTTCCTATTGTTTCACTAGCACTATTTTGTAGTATTTAGCAATTAGTGTTTCACGGATTTACTGTGGTCACTCTATCATTGTGATATGTACTTTGGTCACAATAGGTGCTGATTCGTTTAGTTACTTCCATGGAACACAGTTTTTTGGTAATTCTGAGCAAAATGTTCTTCCACTTGTTGAGCTTTCATTGAGAGCAACACATAAGCTTGGTAAGTGATTTATTGAGTTTACCTATCCGTCTGTCCATTCCTCTATCCATCCATCCCCATATATCCATCCATCCATCCATCCACCAACCCAACCATCTACCCACCAACCCACCCATTCATCCATCCATTCCTCCATCCTTCCACCCATCTATCCATTCCTCCCTTCCTCCATCCATCCATTATTCTCTCATTCTTCCAACCTCTCTCCCATTCATTGTCTTAACTTTTTGATCTCATTTTATTTCCAGTTCAATCACGTTCTCTTCCAACACCTTCATTCCCGTTGCCAGGTAACTTCAACTATCTCCTCCAAACTCCAGTAGGCCACTGTTTTAACTGTGGACAACCTTTCTTCCTCGCTCTCTTTCTCTTTTTAACCGACGCTAGAACTGCGACATCTATTGCTGAACAATTCACTCACCTCGACCTCAGTAGCATGGAAAACGTCCAGCTCCAGYTCGTTTTTGCTTTGTGCTCTCTAAAATGTTTCATGACTATTACAAAATTATCGTAATTCTACCCCCCCCCCCCACCCCCTCCTCCAAACTCAAACGCACGCACTACACACACTTTTCATTAGTGAGAAACGTACGGCAAAGTCGCAGCCGTAATAGAGCCGTACCACATCTAAACGTAGCCTTAACTGCGCGCTGTGATGGGATCAATTATTGGAATACGATGAGAAGCCATTTCAATGTTACAGCATGTCGTGCTATGTACGTGCGGTTAGTCAGTACTCCCATACGATAACCATTCTGGGAAGCCATTTCAATGTTACAGCATGTCGTGCCTTGTACCTGCTGTAAGTCATCGGCAACGTACGTTTCCCTCTCATTAGATAATCATTCTAATAGGAAGTCATGGTACGGCATGCATGTAGCACCGACCGTGTACGTGCTGAAAGTCAGTACGTATCTTTATTTTGTGGGAAAACAATACGGAAAATTTGTAACACCACTATAGCTGTATCAAACCGTATTCGTAACTACAAGTTGTAAGTTGTAAGTTGCAGGCTGTAATTGTATAAATTCCATTTCAATGTTACACGGCATGCCATACTGTGTGGAACAAAACCAAAGATATATTGCATAATTGCAGCTATTTCACTGAAATTTTGGGGGDAAAAATAGTGGATATTACTGGAGCAGAACATTGGGAACAAAAGCAAATACCTCTACGCGTTTTTGTTTAGTTCATGCTATTTTACAACAAAATAGTTGTAATAATAGATTAGATATGTTAGTACTATTCAACAATGTGACTAAATGCACTCAAAGAATTTCTTAAAATTTTTYGCTCGGTTAGTTTTTCGTATTATTCGCGTACTGTTAAAACCCCGCGATACTTTAGCAATTGAAAATCAAATTTCGGCCAATAAACGGCAATCAAGATATAATACAATCTTTTGTTATTTCTTTATTGAATTTTTCGAACCTCGTTTTCACCTATTAAACACATATTGATATTATATGATCGAGCTCTTCAATTTTGTGTACGCACTTCCATAATATTATCAATAGAAGCCACTCAACTGAATAACATATCTGATAACCCTAGAGTTATTTTGATGATGTTTGTATTGCTAATCTTCGATCTTCGTATAAAGAGTTTTGTAGTGCTTGATAGTCTTTCAACGGTTCGTGACAAATTCTTCAAACAATTTGTGCGATTTTAATCGTCGTAAAAGGCCCATATTTAGTCATTTTTCCTAATTCTAGCTTTCTGTAGTCGTTTTATAGCTCGTTATAAGGAAATGATACAGTGAGTAGATCGAAATTATTGTGTATTTTTGGCAGTTAACAATAGTTAAGGTCACGAAAGATTCCAAACACGAGCTGTGAATTTTAAAAAACTCTCTGTTGTTTACAAGACCTTTCTTATACAGACTCTTTGGACTCTTGTCTTGTCTCTGCTGTATCCTCTTTACTCGGGTTGCTGGTCGTCTTTTCCTTCTCTTCGACAGATTTTCTTTGGCTATAGAGAGAGCTAATATCGTATATTCAATTGTGTTAAGAAACTTCTACCACAAGAATGCGTTATATCTATTCTTGAGCCATTTCGAGAAGTTTTCAGTCTCCTTGATTTGATTTAAAAACATTCTTGAAGGCAGCCCGTTGATTCCAGTCATTGTCAATCCAGTCATCCTTTGGCAAGCCCTACATTTGACGATTTTCCCTTCGCCATTCAAGAACCGCTCCAGACAGACAGTACAAAACACATGAGCACAATGAAGGACTTTGAGATTCCTATGATTCGAGCACTCTGCACACCTTAAATTTCCGATTTCTTCTTCTTGCGATGAGATTTCGCCAATGCTTGTTGTAGAGTTAGAGCTGCCTGTGTCCATGTTTCGAGCTTAGAATAACGCTTATGAACGTATATCTTAAACATACAGTGATGGCTGAATGAACATTCATTCCAGCGAGGATGTGAAAATATGCCACAGGTTAAGTTACGTGTGCGTCACCATCTCTTTTAGACTTTGCCGTCAATGTAGGATAGTACAGGGGTCATAGTTTAAACGCGTTTAGATAGCAGCTTAAATAATTTGAGAAGATATCAAAGGTTAGTACGTTAAAGCAGACGTCATTACTAAATTTAGAAGCATTATTATATGTCTGAAAAAGAATACTCGCTTTCCTAATAGCCCTTTTGCAAATCAACACGAAAACGCTTTGTTCTTCGACCCAATAAGTGTTATTTTAATATTCTCATCTTAGTGGTAAAATATTCATAAATACTAACGGTGCACAACTGAATGCCGATGTTATATCGCGGGGCGAATTGTAATGTTTTTTCGCGCCTTTGTAATGTTTTTTTTCCCTTTTGTTCAGTTGATTAGCACCAATTGTCTTACTACATTGTCAAGAGCGAAATTAAAATACATTTWAAATGATTAAAACAAATTAAAATAAGAAAGAAAATTAGCAATGAATCTTGGTAGAGTGCAAACAATATAAACGTGAAACTTTAGTAATACTAAAATAGAACAATTTCATGGAAATTCCATTGTTTTCTATTGTTTAATTAGCACTATTTTGTACTATTTAGTAATTAGAGTTGCACGGATTAATTGTTTGCACTCTAGTGGGTATCAAAGGACGCCATCATGCAAAAGGTCTATTAGACCTGGTATTTCACTTGCGACGGAGTCGAAAACAGTTCATGCGTGACATGAAGCACAGGTAGCCCAAGCTTGGTTTCTGTGGTGTCCTGTTATAAGGAAATGTATGGGGAATCATCAAAAATTTCAATAAAATCATCAAAACGTGAAATAAAGCCTCGAAATTTTACCCTATCATTGAGAAATTGCACTTCTTTCGCTCTGCGTGGTTATTTTTTGAATTTAGCCCGTTTTTATTTCTTACTGGTGGGGAAAAAAATCTTAAAACGGACTAAATTCAAAAAATAACCACGCAGAGCGAAAGAAGTGCTATTTCTCAATGATCGGGTAAAATTTCGAGGATTTATTTTACGTTTCAATGATTTTATTGAAGTTTTCGATGAATCTCCATACATTTCCTTATAACAGGACACCACAGAAACCAAGCTTGGGCTACCTGTGCATGAAGAAGGAAACCTTTTACGATTCTTCCGCGCTTCCGACTCCGTTTTCTCGTATTTCTGGTTTGCTGCTTCCGACAGCGATCCGACAAAGATTCGACACAGATCCAACATAGATCCGACGCCGATCGGACACCGATCCGACAACGATCCGAAAAAGCTGACCTTCTCTAAGCGCTGATGTACATCAGACTCATTCACATACTGTTAAGAAAGAATAAATGCGTGTAACATAAGCAACATGCAACAAAACTTTCACCAACTTTTTTTCCGAAATAGAGCACACCCATTTCAAAAAGGTTGTCAGTGCCAAACGATATATGCAGTAGATAATCCCAAGACCAAAAGGAATTATGGTCTATTCTTGGATCTTATCCTATCTCCCATCGCCTATCTCCTTTGGCTTCGACAATCTTTTTGAAAGAGGTGTAAAAAAAGACATCAAAGAGCACGGCTACTCTCTTTTCAGAAGAGTCTATAGGCTTTGAAACGAAGTGCTTTTAAATTAATATTGATATAAACCTTGATCCTTGAATACAGAAACCTCAATACATGAAGTAGAAAGGGATTACTTTGGGATTACTTTGTGCTTAAATGATGGAGTACAGCCATACAGCTTCATAAATGATGGCTGACATCAGGTGATTTGTGAAGACAAGGTTCTAATAATGGCTGTAAAACAAGGCATTTCTTGGTGTTTGTTTGTGCTTCATGGTGGGGTACAGCCATACAGCTCCATAAATGATGGCTGACATCACGTGATCTGTGAAGACAAGGTTCTAATTGTGGCTGTAAAGCGAGGCATTTCTTGGTGTTCGTTTGTGCTTCATGGTGGGGTACACCCATACAGCTCCATTCTCATTGTAGGATGGCCACTCCACTCTTGTACAATGACACGAATGTATCGAGCAATGATCGGTATCTCAATCTTGTTGGTCACCACTGTGTTCATATCGACGTTTCCAGTAAATTTCTATCGGAATAAATTACAGTTTTGTATCACTGACAGATTGAACCTGAATTATCCTGAATCAACCTTTGGGCTGATCTAAGTCAGGATACGGCGAACTCACAGATTGAACCCTGAAACAACCTCTGGGCTGATCTAAGTCAGGGCATGGCTAACTCACAGATCGAACCCTGAATCAACCTTTGGGCTGATTTAAGTCAGGATACGGCGAACTCACCGATCAAACCCTGAAACAACCTCAGCTGGATTGACTAAAGTCACAGCGCGACTAACTCAATRATGAAATAGAATAATTGGGAAAAGTGTCGCACGATACGAAAAGGGGACAAATATATTGATAGCACATGCTCGCTTAAAATCAAGCTCAATCAAAAAAAATAAATGTAAGGGTTCTTCAGTTGAGCGTAAAGCTTTGTACATGTACACGAGAAACATGGCTAACAATGCGACTGAGTGCACATTATATGGATCAGTGGCGACGTGCATTTTTTTTGGAATTTTTCAAACATTTTTAACCTTCAGACAGTCTCCACGGTAGCTTGTCCAGTCGCTTGTGTCGTTGCTGTAAGACACACTGTACTCGGTCACCCACTGGTCGTGATTCCTGGGTCTTCCTTGTGTGGCAATCTTAGTAACCATCTTGACTCTACCAAGGTCAACCTGTATGTACTCGCCCCTTTTAGTCCCACCTGCAGCCCATGCACCAATGGTAACGCCAGAAACATGCTGATTATTCAGACGGGCTCCCTGTGGTGCATGAACTGGGAAATCACCTGCCATTGAAGAGGCAGTGATCTGGGAGTCAAGGATTGATCGATCTTCCATACCCAGCGGATTTTCACATCCTGTGCACAAAAAAAATATAATAATTTCCAATATTGTTTCTAGGATTTCGATATTTTGACCAGTTCCATCTCATTAGTCCAAATAATCTATGAACAAGTTTCTTACCCGTTGTATTAACTACTGGTATTTGACATTCCTTGGTCTCCATATCTGACCCGATGCAGTTGGTACCGATATTCTGAGGTGCTGCAGGGTTGGTACAGTTTCGTGTACGTGTCCTGGGACAAKCTGGGAGATGACAGGCGGTCCATGACGTCCACTGTGTCCAAACGCCATCTAGAAACGGAAAAAWAATAATTTTCGCAATTGGAGGAAAGACTTTAGATCTTTAACTGAAACTGGAATCTCTCATCTTCTAAAGCAAAAAACTCACCAACACAGCTAAAGGTGTCCCATAAAAAGTCAGGCATACACAACTTATTGGATGGACAAGGACTGGACGAGCAATGGTTCTACGGAGAAAAAAATACCCAATAGTGAAATGTCAATGATGAGCAATAATGGCAAAAAGCGCCAAAAGCTAGACTTTCGTATGAGTTTTGATCCCAATTTTCGTTTTGGGTTAACACTCAAAACCTTTTTTAAACAGTTAGAAACTGATGCACTATGATAAAATGCCTGTTTGAAGCGGTATTTTCAATTGTACAAAGATGTTTTGTTGCATTTGTGTTAGAATGCTGCTTTGAAAGGCTTTTTTATAGAAAATATATGGGAAATAAGCAAATGAAGGCCTTAACCTCATTTTCGGATAAAAGTTTTGCTTTGGGTTAACACTTTGATTCCACTTTCATCGGCCATCTCCACTTCCAAACAAGTTAAACTTTCTGAATAACAAGATTTTAGCCTTGTACAACAGCCTTTCTTCAAGTAAATAGTTTTTGTTGCTCACTGCTTGAATACGAAAAGAATTCTCTCTTAAACAAAATGCTTTTTCTAAGGCTCACAATCAAAATAAGTTCGGGGTAAGGTACTGATGCAAATGCCACGAAGGTAACTATGGTAACCATTTGGTATACTCGTGACATTGACCCAACCAGTGGAGAATACTCACCGTATACCATGACTTCCAAATAGTTGGTAGGGTGGGTGAGAACAACCATCATGGCCTTGATCTACAAACTACTACCAAGCATAACTATCCCGGGTAATCCTTTGGTTATTATAACTAGCTGTCACTTATATTTCTAAGTTGTTCTTACTTCATTTTAGCAAATATTGTAGCAGTGCAGGCGAAAATAAACTATTGCCGTTGTCATCGTCGTAGAGAAGCCAACAGCGACATCCAAGGCACCCCGTTAAGAAGGCATGTAGGACTTAGGTAAACCGCTGAGCCACCTACACTCTTCTTTATCTTAATTTCCTTCAGGAATGATTAATATATTGGTGGTGCTCACCTTGATAGGACAGTAYTCAAAACCCTGWGTTTGTACCACATGATGCGGCCACATCCAATGATCAGCGTCATTCAGGTCACATGATCTTGACATCCCTTCCAMTGGACCCATGTTGTACGACACACARTTWTCTTCTATATAACATTTGTGCTGACAATCCTCTAATCCGGGTGSTAAGATTCTGAAGGACTTGATCACGTGACCAGTAAGGGTTTTGTTTTTCTGACAGTCAAGRAAKTCYAGTACCTTACAGCCATCTTCACCTGTGTAGGGAATGATGTCAATAAGATGATTTGGTATCTAAAAAGTTCTTGAGGTCACAATATTTTTCTCGGATCTTGATTATAAAGTCCAATAGACAATTTTCGAGTCCCAAATATCACCGCTGTGTTCCTTGATTACAGAATCATTTATTCAAGCTTCACCGGCCTCGCATCAGACACTGGGAAAACTCGAAACTAGAGCATAGTTCCAAGGTCCGTCAAAAAACAAAAACATGTCACAGCTGCGTGAAACAACCAAAGAACAGATGGAAAGACTTTCTTATTGTCAATGTGGAAAATTTTTAGGGAGATAGTAATAATAATGATTAAAAAAACCAAAAAAACAAACAATAGGAATGAAAGTTGTGTTGTGAAAGGTTATAGAATAATTCCGGCAAGATATTACAGTAGTTCATAAGTGTGTGATATTCAACCATTGGAGAACTACCTGCTGCGAAGTACACGAAACAGAAACAAATTGAAATTGAGGTTGAATACTGAATGAACAATTCCTTTTCCATTAGGGTTATGAATTGTTAGGGAAAAATAATTGAATTAAATTCAGTTAAAAAATGTGAGTTTGTGCTTATTCATTTATTTTTGTTCGTAAATATAAAGTGCGGAACTCTAGACTAACTGTGGAACAAATTAGTGCGAAATAAACTGATACTCACAACCAAAAACATGCATAATGTTTATGCGAAAATGTGACATAGAGGAACTAATGTGTAAGTTTATATATATTTTTTGTCCCCTAAAGATATAGGGAAAAGTACAAATAGGAAAGAAAAATAAAATGTTGGATAAGAAGAGAATCGTGAGAGTGTAAAACTGAGGAAAAAGTTTAAGCTAGTGAGTTTATCATTTTCGAAATTAGGGAACATCTTGTTTAATATTGCGAAGAGATAACTAGCTAAAAACTAGTGTGAGCTGCGTCGGTGTTCCTAATGAAACAGTAATGATGAAAAGCTAGGTAAATGTTGAAAAGGTMAATTATGCCACCCCTTTTTCTCTTTTACTTTGACGAAGGACTAGCGTCCGAAACGTCAGTAAGTTTTTTCATCTTTCAGTCACGGTGTATAATTTACCTTTTTATCATTACTGTTTAATATTGTGGTTTGCAAAGTGGAGGATAAACATGATGTCTTGTATCTTACTTACCCTTTACAGAAACAACTGTCAATAGAATCGTCAAGACACTTTTCAACGTTTTGTGGAGTAGATTCATTATGTGATGTGTTCAGGGCTACTTGCACAAAGTTGTGCTCTTCAATGTTACTTTTCTGTAATACATGTACATTATTAATACTCTTAATCAGTGTGATACGCGTGGGCATCTCTTGATTACATTCAGGAATCCATTCAGATCTTGACTCAGGATGGTCCCTGTCATTGTCATCAACAGGAATGTTGTGTTCTGTGTTTTGGAGTCTTAAAAGTATGCTTTTGTTAGAGTGATTTTATTTAACCCGCGAAAGAAAATAACTATTTAGTTAGTACTAGTTGCTAAACAACAAAAACTTATGGGTCTAGAGTCAGTCTACAGCTAAATATTATGCGTACTATTTTTTAACGGTTAAATAAAATCATTTGAGTCCTAGGTACGCATTGAAAACGAAGGATGGATCATGATGAAGACAGTCTTCTGTTATGTCATTCAATAAGTTTGGCTCATGTAAGGTTTAACTTTTGTATTAATTCTGATTCAATTATGGGTCAATTTTAACAAGTTGTATTAATCATTACGACTGAAAGGGCTACTGAAACAGCTGAAATAGTTGAAAGAGCTAGCTAGAGCTGAAACAGCTGAAAATCATAAAGGCTGTTGTACAAGGCTAAAATCTTGTTATATTCAGAAAGTTTAACTTGTTTGGAAGTGGAGATGACCGATGAAAGTGGAATCAAAGTGTTCGGTTAATTATAACCCAAAGCAAAAATTTGAATCGAAAATGAGGTTTAGGCCTTCATTTACTTATTTCCCATACATTTTCTATAAAAATAGCCTGACAAAGCTACATTCTAACTCAAATGCAACAAAACATCTTTGTACAATTGAAAATACCGCTTCAAACAAACATTTTGTCATTGTACATCAGTTTCTAACTGTTAACTGAAAGGTTTTGAGTGTTAACCCAAAACAAACATTGGGATCAAAACTCATACGAAGGTCTAGCTTTTGGCGCTTTTTGCCATTATTGCTCATTATTGAAAAAAAAATCCTCTTAATATATAAATTGAGTACAATTCAATTCAATTCAGAAAATTATTAAGCATGGACTGGAATTCACAAAAAATGTGACAGTAACAGAATGCAACTCAAAGAAAAGTGTGTTGATGAAAAAAAGTATCGATTACTGCGGTTTTCCATATTCTCAGACATTTCAATGGGTTGTTGCGCAAAAGGTTTTTCGCTGCCGCCAGTCAAGAAAATAAAAGGTACCGACTAATTATTTTTGATAGACGGCAGCGAAAAACCAAATTTCAGCTTGCAGCTCGTAACTTCCGCAAGGAACGACAGAGATCAAACAAATAAGATATCATACAACCCTAATTCTATTAACGCCTTGCTTGGTAACTTCATTAAGAAAGGCACAGGGAACCCAATCTCTAAAAAGTGCAAGTAGTTATCAATGTTTTAATATTTGGGCTTCCTGTGTCTAAAAGCCGGGATCTCCCATGATGCTTTTGGGTGACGTCATGACATTTCACCACGTGTTTTCGCTTTCTCAATTCAAGATGGAGGCGAGCAACTATTACGCTGGTTATACTTCAGGAGCCCAACACTCACAAGGATTCACTCAAGTTCAAAATCCGCCGATTCAGACAAGTTATGCAGCTCCTCAGGCAACTACTGGATACGCTGTTCAAGGCACAGCACAAACAGCTGCTCATTACGGGCCGCCCCAAACCCAAGCACCTCGGCAAGTAGTTCAACAAGCGGCGTATTCAGCTGCCTCGACGGCTTATGCTCAGACGGCTCCTACACAAGGGAGTGCTTATGGCTATACAGCAAGGCAACAGGATGCTCCTCCACCACCACCACCAACCAATACAGCTTATCAGGCAGCTTCACACGCCGCCTATCAAACACATCCTGCGTCTCAAACCTACTATGAACGTGACGCTTACGACACCAAAGCTAACTACTATTCACAGCAGCCAGCCTCAAGTGTTCAAGGAAGTCAAGGCGCTTACTACGCTCCTGTAGCTACTGCCACTGCTAAAGCTGCTTATCAAGCTTCGGCAGCCACAGCTTATCCAACTCCTGTTAGTGCCACTCGTGTAGCGGCAAAGTCTCACCCGGCACAAGCTTATACTTCGAGTTCTACTGTTGCTTACCCGTATTCCTCTGCTCGAACCAACACCAACTACAATAACCAAGGTTCCTACACTACGTCTACTTATGGCAACTCAAATACTGCAGCTACTGATAGCTATCATCCTCAGGCTTACGAAGCAGCCGTTTATAATGCGGCAGCAGCGTACGTACAGCAACAACAACAGCATCATCAGCCTTCAAGGCCCAACTGGAAGAACAAAAGCGGCATGTCTGGGATGCCGTCCAACAAGCAACAAAAGCCCAAAGCTCCACCAAAACAGCCACAAATACACTACTGTGATATTTGTAAAATAAGCTGTGCCGGACCTCAGGTTTGTAGTATCATAATGAAAAATATTGAATTCTTTTTGTTGTGTRAGAAATGCCGTTTTTCATATATTTTAAGTTGCTAGAATTTGCTCAAAGGATTTGTATGAATGAATAAAGGTAAAGCGTTTGTTCCCAGTCTTTTTAAATTCTTCAAGTTTGTAAAGGTCCTATATTAATACCTTTACTAATAGATAAATATATAAGATAAAACCAAAAATTGCTTAAAAAGTGCAGAACATAACCAGAAATTTAAAAAAATAATTTCTCAATAATAAGCTTACATCATTCGACCCACAATTGTGATAGTATACATTATCCCAACCACCCCCCCCCCCCAAAACCCCCCGCAAGGTTGTTAACCTCCAACAAATATAACCTATTTACTCCAGTTTTCCATTGTATGTCCTCTTATGTACTTTTCATCATCTAGCCATCAAAATATGTTGTAGACTCCCTCCAGTACACCTTGAGAGTCTGCAACATTTTGATGGCTAGATGACGAAGGTTGTGGTATTAGAAAAACTAGAGTAAATTGTTTTCTTATCACAAAAAATTCAAAATTTTGCTTCAAAAACAACAGTAAAATTTGAAAGAAAAACGTGATAGAAATTGCATTTCAAGCTTCTAGATATCAAATTTTCTTCTTTCCCCCAAACCCCCTAAAACAAAAGAAGCCTTATGGCCCCTTTTTTGTCACAGACAATTAAAAGAAGTAAGTTCGATTTTCATTGTTAAATATATTTTTTAGACTTACAAGGAACATTTGGAAGGACAGAAACACAAGAAAAAGGAAGCTTCATCTAAAGCCAAACCAGAGGCAAATGCCAACAACAGTAATTCTTACTGTTGTGAGCTGTGTGACATCACATGCACTGGTGCTGATGCATATGCTGCACATTTGAAAGGGTCAAAACACCAGAAGGTAATGCAATTTTTATTGCCAATCTCAATAACTTGGTTGGGATAATAATTATAGGATCATCAAAATCAGCTTTTTTAAAATCATTTATCTTAATGCACATTATGACAACCTATTACCTTGAGGCATCGGCAATAACTTTAAGGATATCATAGAAACTAAAATCAGCCTTTTAAGATCAATTTAAAATCAAATCTTGTTTAATTCTCTGTATGGCATATAGAGCTAATGTAGAACAGTGAATCAATGGCTGTGTGTAGTAATTGTGCTCTTGCCTTGAACCTTTGGGACCTTAGGTTTGCAATATATACAGTATGAGTGGCCGTGTTGTATGCAATATACAAGCTCGAGGCATAGGCTAGAGTTTGTATATTGGATACAACATGGACACAAATACTGTATATTACTTATCAAACGTCTAGGTTAGTTCCTTTGTGCTTCGCTAATATTTTCAAGATAAAAGTGAATCTGGCCAAGAAAATCCATCTTGAAGTTTATGCCAATGAACAGGATTCTGTATCTGATTTACAAAACTCTTCATGGTCGTGATTTCTGTTGTGTTGTCCTCATGAATTATTAATGAGTTTGATAAGATCTGATGTGAACTCACGTGGAATTTAAGGGCATGGGTCTTTTCTTTAATTTGAGGATTTTTCTTTGTGTTCTACCTCTGCTGTACCCAACATACTAAAATACAATTCAGTTCTGCCCTGAATTAGATCTGCCCAGGTTGTTTCATGTTTGATAAATTAAGTATGAAATCTAGAACAGTTTGAAGTAATCTTTAACAGTGAAAGCATGATACTGTGACCATGTTCTCTAATCAGCATTTAGATCAGAGAAAACACAAGACAATCCTGCAATAGCTATTTAACAATGGCTGGGACAAAGGTTGCCATACTTTTGGGGTTGTACAATACTAACATTAATGTTTATGTAGGTTGTAAAACTACATGTAAAACTTGGCAAACCAATCCCAGAGATTCTGCCAATTAAAGCACCAGAACCAAAAGAAAACAAAGAAGGTGAAGAAAAAACCAAAGTAGCATCAAACAACAGAAACCAAGGAAGRAAAAATGCAGCCAAACGTCCAGTAGCTCCTAAGATAACCTTTGTAGGTGGGACTAAATTGACAACAACTGGTGTAGTAAAGACTAATGATGCTTCTGAAGGGTCTACTGCTCAAGCTGGTCAGGCACAACAAGGTGCAACAGCTGCTGGAAAAGATGAGGAGTCATTAGATTCCTCTGCAGATGGTGAAGGTAAGATAAAAGTTGTGAAAATCACAAAGGCAAAGAAAGCTTCCTAAATGAATAAATGATAACAATCTGTTAAAATAAATAAAGATAAACATTGTTGCCAACCATTTGGGTTGCAGAGCACTTCTTATTATACCAGACCAACTTTTAATGCAACAATGTCGTGTTAAAGATTGTCTTGTGTAAYGTCAGCTTTAGTCCATTATATTGTTAAGTGGTAAATTTTAAATGTCTTTCTGGTTAATGTGGTGTTATTTTTTCTTGTATGATTAGAAAAGTTTGATTTGGCCACATTCACTGGTGTGGATAAGAGCAAAATTGTTGGTAAGTTATTGGAGTCATTGTTACATTATTGCTTTTCCATTCTAAAATGTGAAGTTTGCTACCAACTTCAATACCACACCATGTGCATTATTTATTAGCCATCCAACTTTTGACATTGAATTCTTATTTTTGTTAACCTCTTTAGATAATTTTGTTGTAAAAGTATTTTCTAGTTTATCACCCTGTAAGCATGATAACTGGCCAAAATAGTTTTTGCCTTGTCATACCTCATTTTGGGCTCAATATTACTGGTCAAGATGACCGGCAGAGCAAAGATTTGACTGCACAAGTACCAATTCGGGCTGGAAATTGCCAGTCCTTCAATGATGTTAATAACATTCTAAATCTGTTTACCAAGCCAAATACATAGGAAATCAGTGTTTTCATTAATTTTAGGGTCAGAGATTGGAGAATGCTCCAGTAACTTAACAAATTCTCTGGCTTAAACTACCTTGATCATCTTCTCCTATTTTTTCAAAACCATTGTTTTCACCCCTTCAATGAGGGGGGGGGGGGTGCTTAATGAAAATCCTTGGGGGTGCTGGTGGGGTTAATCCTACTGAATGCTATACTTTTAATAATATTAGTTAACCCCTATTTATAGTGGTACATGGCTAGATATCGTCAAAATTGTTAATTAATYTTTAATTTTTATTTCCAGGCTCAGATTACCTTGAGGAGATCAAGAGTGATGATGGCAAAGTTGTCAGTTTTCAATGCAAACTTTGTGAGTGTAAGTTTAATGATCCAAATGCTAAAGAAGCTCACTTGGCTGGTCGTAGACACAGATTGCAGTACAAAGTAAGTGTTAGAAAATGGTAGTTGTCATTCCCTTTTTACTATATCTTTTACCATGAATCCTTAACATAGTGGAGCAGGAACTTTATTAAGGGTTGGAGATCAGAGAACGCTCCATTAACTGAGCAAAAGACTCTGGCTTAAACTATCATGATATTTTTCTAAGTATTATTTTGGTTGGTGGTTTCATTATTTCAAAATGGATATAAAAACCTTGACAGATTTCTTCTGGATATTTCTGCTTTGTAAACCTGTATGTGCATGTGTGTTTTTAAAGGAATTTCTTTTTTTCCTTTCAGAAAAAAGTTCAACCAGATTTAGTTGTGGAAACCAAACCCAGCAACCGCAGACTCAGCAAGACACAAGAAGATAAACTCAGGCGCCAGTGGGAACAGGAAAACCTATGGAGATGGAGAAGGGATGAAGAAGCACGCTGGCATGAGGAGGAAGCGCGAAGATGGGAGGAAGGAGAATATCTTAGAAGGATGGAAGAGGAGAGGTTCTGGGAAGAAGAGCACAGACGCAGGTATGAAGGAGACTTCATGGAATGGAGTGATAGAACCCTCCCTGGTTCTCATGCACCAACTGGTGGTGTTCCTCCAAGACTTATGGATGCACCTATGGTAAGAACCAATTGGCTTTTATTTTATCCTGACGCAGCTAAAAATAATATTTCTGAATTTTTGAAATCTTAAAGAAAAGGTAAATTGATTAAAGTAAATTTGTCTAAGAACTTTTTTTTTTTTTGCCAAGCTAACATATTGTCCATCTTCAGGGCAATAGTGGAAAAAAACAAAACAACTTGCGCAAGCTAGTGATAAATTGACAGTTAGGGGGAAAACGCTATAGATGAATTCTTCAACTTTAACAACAATAGTGGAATGTACTAAGCAGGGGCTGGTCCAGGGGGGTGCTTTTTTAAAGCCAAAGAAACATTTAGGGTGCATAATATCTCGTTATACATTTCTTTATTTGAGACACACCTTTAATAAATTCCTTGATCTGTCCTTGCTAGGGCAAGGAAACACAACAGCTGAAGAAAATTATTACTAATTAATAGTAATCTTGGTATTGTTAGTAATATAATTATACAGCTTCTCATTAATCCCATATAGGTAACCAGAGCTTTCAATAGGAGGCGGCAACCGGCGATTTATTGCCGGATACTTCTGCCTAAACTGTCGGCTATTTTCGACTTAATAGTACACATAATTAATAAAAGAGGGGTCTAAAATTCCATTTATTGCCCCCTAATATTTGGGAATAACTGCTTACTCCAAAAAATATTGAAAGCTCTGGGTAAATGTCCAATTATTTTCTTATTTGGACAGGTCTTGTTGATACGAGATTCATTAGGCAGCTATATAATTAATAGGTAATGGGATTTCATGCTCCCCAATCAAGAAATAATTAAATTCGAAAAATTCCTCTGACTGCCAAATTGGACTCGGCCTACGGCCTCATCCAATTTTGTCAGTCCTCAGAATTTTCCTCGTCCAATAGCATGGAGTCCTATTACATATACTAATAGTAATAATAGTAAAATGATGATAGTAGATTTTACTAATGTGTTTTATTTCATCTCCAGCCTCGCCCAAGATTTGATTCTGCCGATGATCGCATGGTTATGGCAAAACACTCGGCGATCTACCCAACCGAATCAGAACTACAAGCTGTCCAAAATATTGTGTCTGCATCAGAAAAAGCCCTCAAGTGTGTGTCTGATGTAATTGCTGAGCAAGACAACCCGCCGATGGAAGTAGAAACAGCAGCAGCAGATGTTGAGGTTAAGGAAGAGGTTAAGGAAGAGAGCAAACCTGAAGACAAGACAGAAGAGGCTGCTGCTGAGAAGACTGAGGGGGAAACTGAGGAAGAAAACAAAGACCCTGCGAAGCAACAAGCACCTCGTGAGTACAGTAGAGACTCCACTTATTGGTTACTTTTTAAGTGACCTTTCTTCCACTTACCATTCTTTGAATTAACAGACTTCCACTAGGCTGATTGAAGCCAGAGAGTGAGGCCCACTTGCAGTATTGTACCAAAGCTACTTGTGAATAAGGCCTCAAAAAGTGTTTTGCAACCAGTATAAGCCCAATGGTACTGAATATGTGAGCGCTCAAAATGCAGAAAGCAGCCCAATAATCAGTGCAAAAGGCTGGTTTCAATCAGCCTAGGGGAATCTATCAATTTGCAGATGGAAAATTGGACACAGTCACTAGAAAACTACCTTGAGACACCTTGAACAACCAATCTGTTGATTATCAAAGTCCCAAGAAATGGTTTTGCTCTAATTTATATCTCTATTTTACTGGCCATTTGTCAAAGACCAAAGAATACTTTTTAACTTTATATTTCTATTAAACAACTATCTTCCATGTAGAGGTCAGTTGTCAAAGCCTTAACCACATTTTCGAGCTATAAATTTATACTTCTATTTAGTGCCCATTCTTTGTTTAGTAGCCACAGTAGTTTAACTGTGGAAACTTTAATTACTATTGTTTTTCTCTTTATTTAAGGTGCCCTGAAAGGTGTCATGCGTGTTGGAGTACTRGCTAAGGGTCTGCTACTAAGGGGCAGACTGGATGTTGATTTAGTTGTTCTTTGCCACAGTAAGTAAATTCTATTTAAGAAATTATCTTCCATGAATACAGATAGTGTATAATGGTTAGGATTTAAAATACTATCATGACAGCAGCTGTTTTGAAGCTTTTGATTTTTTGGATTCGGAAGTTGGATGCTTTGGGTGGCATTTTAAACTTGTAGGCCATTCGACCTTGGAGCTTCCTAGATCACTTCAACAGGTATTCAGGATGTGTTTTGATATACACCTCTAATGAATGCTTTGTGTGAAACATTGATGTGGTTGTGACGTTAGAGCTTTGAATACTTTAAGAAAGTTTGGTATGTAGAAGTTAACAGTCTGAATTGAATAACCATGGTCACCTAGAAATATTCCAGGAATGTTCTATTGTTCTTTGGCCAATCAGAATTGACTTTCTGACCACAAGATAATGGCAAGATAACACTAAGTGTTCTGATTGGTTTACAAAGAGTCTTGAAATTTTTCTAGGTCCCCATGGTTTTTTGATTAGCACTGTAAACTTTTGTCTAAAACTTTGCCAGTGACTTTATTTTTACACACTAGCCTTCAACTTCTCCCAACTTGACTTTGTGATTGTATTAAGCTATGTTTACACTAAAAACATTTGTTAACTGTGAAAAAAAGAATGTAATGCTTTATTGAGATTTGATATCTAAATTATAGAAGTGAATCGGCATTTACATGAAGGTTGGCTGACGCTTCATTTTTGGAATTTTCCAGGAGGGGAAAGGGAATTGNGGGGGGGGGGGCTGGGGGGTTGTGAATAAACTTGTTCCTAGCACTAATGCTACCCTATCTTCATGTTAACAGCCCAAGTTACCAAGGAAATRACTTCTGTTTGTGTTTTTATACAGATAAACCTACCTTGTCGCTTCTGAAGAGAGTGGTTGATCTCCTTCCAGCTCAGCTTGAGGTAACTACAAAGTTAACCCATTGTTTCAACCTTAGAATAGATTTTATCAGTCTCAATTATTTTGTCCCAAGTTTAAAGTTTAAAGTCAAAACGTGGATTTTATTATAATTTTTCTTTCAAATTTTCAGATTAATAGATATGAAATAAATTCCTTTAAATTGCATCTTTCATTTATTTCCTATCTCGTGCATAATGATTGTCAGCTGAATCCCAAGTTTTCAATCCAGATCTTTCTCGTGGTCAGCACATGGTGGTCAGTGTTTAACCACCTTTTGGAGCAGATAATGAGATTCAGATACTGTTTTTGGCTGATTGAAATATGAAAATTAAAAAACAAAAAAACAAACAAAACAAAAACAAAAACAAAAAAACAAACAAAAACAAAAAAGAAAACAGTGAAAAATTAAATCATGTTTGGTATGTATTTTAAATGTCTGCTAACACTTAATTTGACATTGGTCTTTTTGTTTCTTAACAGAGAGTAACAGAGGAAAAGTATGAGATAAAAACACTTCCTGAAGAGTGTGGACTATCAGTTAGTACTACCACTGAGCCAAAAGTGACTGTCTTGGTTACTCTTACGTCACCTATCATGAGGGATTCAACTGAGCCTGTAAACGGTAAAGTATTAGTTTGATGGGGAGGCTACTCCACCCCTTAGAACTATCGTAATGGGCACAGGAAATGCTTCATAACCTTGTGACCATTAGCCTGATTTACCTTGCTTACCGATTTGATTCTCTTACTCCATGAGATTAAGGTTTCCAGTTTAGTGGAGCAGTGTAAAGGATAAAGGCATGGACAATTTTGAAGCATTTGTAGACTTTGGTACATGTTTGGTAATTCTATTTTTACATAAGACAAGGGGGTGTACATATATAAACCACATGTACATATATGTATCTAGTTCACCCTCTCTTCCATCCAACCAGATTATTGTTTTACCATATCCCTAAAGTCAAAAGCTTGTACTGAAGGTGTCCAAATATATATTGTCCATGTTTTTGGACCTCACATTGAGTTTGCTGAAAACTGAAAAAAATAAGTTTAAAAGACTAAAAATTCCCCTCTAGTTTCCCATATATATGATAACTGTTGTTGTCAGCATTTGTGTTAGTGTTATTTCACCTTTGCAATCCTTTATATTCAATTATCGTGGTAACATTGGTGTTAAGTGCTACCTTAAATATTAACAAAATGCTGATGATTGCAAATCTTCAGTATTGTATGTTCAGTTACTATGCAGATGGATATTCAATCAAGTCCTGAGTAAGGAAGGGAAAGCTAAGAGACACCAGCTAGTGCAATGGCAGGCCCTTTGACTTGTCTTTGGGCTAGCCACTGTCACTAGCAGTGTGTCTTGCCGCTCTCTCTAACCAATCCAACTCTCTACATCTAGCAGATGATGAACCTGACGTTCTGGACAGGCAAAAATGTCTTGATGCATTGGCTGCCTTACGACATGCTAAATGGTTCCAGGTTCGCGCTTCAGTTTGTTGTGTATTATGAGAGGAAATGTCACAGTGACGTGTTGAACAGATGCAGACAGAATGAACTTTGAAAAATCATTCAACAGTTTTCCACAAGATAAAAACATTCCTATTTCAAGCAGTACTTTAAATTCAAAATTCAAAAATATCACCTAAATTGGTTCCTTTTTATCAATAATTGATATGAAAAAATTGGATGTTAAATTACATGTAGAAGAAACATTTTAATCTTTGATAATAATTGATATGTTGAATATTTCAAATTTCATTCTATCTGTGCTCAAATTCAGAGTATGGACATAAGTATTTTTAAGATTGGCCAGTGAAGGAGGATAATACATTTATAGGTCTCGTAATCTTTTTTTTTCATTTCTTGTGCACATTATTAGGCCACCTCACAGCATGTTCACTTCGTTACTGGAAAATTAGACTTTTTTTCTAGTTTTCATTGCTTGTCCTCTAGCTGAACTTCATTTGCCAATGTTTTTATCATTGAAAAGATTTTTGTGTCGCAATGTTCAAAAATTTGATTTACACAGCTTAAGAGTGCTGTGAGTGTGACAATTCCTCTTCGTCTTCAAACAGACAGCGCAACTGCCAGTTTTCTTAAAATTCAAGGCAAACTTTTCATTATTCATGGTTAATAATTAATAATTTGGCCACCCTGATTTATTTTCCTGTCATTTACCAAATTAATATTTTCCTAGATTTTGAGAACTTGATTTTGAAAAGTTTTGCAAGATAACTTGATTTTTCTTTCTCTCTCCTTATTTTTGCTTGCTACTCTGGGACTGGTTATAAAGTACATTGCATTTTGTGATAAGAATTGAAGCCTATATTTTGTTGTGAAAAACCCTTTGAACCTATGAAACCTTACTGTACCTCTGTTGTTATCCTTAATCCTCTAAGGAACTCAGGAATAGCATCAAATTTAAAAGTAAATTTCTAACATAAAAATTTTGACAGAATATAAAGAAGACTGGTGTATTTGGCTTCTTTTAAAGATTTTTCTTATATTATAATGCTAGAAACACCAGTCATTACAGCTTTTTTTTGTTCTTAGAATGACATTTGTTCAATCTCTAATCCCCTCTTGCCATCATGTTTGCCACTTCAACCCTTTTTGAAAATAAATGCATATTTATTGCCCAAAATAAGCAATTAAGATTCGTAATACCCACCCAATTTTCACATTTCATAGCTCCTTTTGATCTAGTTCTTGTTAGCAGATGAAAATTTATACCTTTAGTAAATCTTGAGATTAAACTGAGAGTTATCAAGACTGCTTCAAAGAAGTTCACAGCATTCAACAGTTTATCACTCAATCCTTGTACTTTATTACTAGTTGCTTATCGGAAATGGGATTAGGTGTTATTTATGATTAAACATTTAATCCAAAAAATTAAAATAAATTGTCTTTTTGCAAAGTTCTTCATGTTTGGCAACTAAAATTAGCTAAGAAGAAGAATATGACCTGTTTCTGTAATTGTTTTGTATTTCTAAACTCTTTTCCAACAATCATCTAAAAGTTTCTATCAATTGGTAATTTTGCTAAATTCACTTGAGATAACCAAGGATGTTCTGTCCAATGTATTTTTGATTCCGTCAAATAAAGTGACAAAACTTTGCAACAAAAAAAGCACGGATATGGAAGTAGTTACTGTTTGGCAGCGACTCTACCTTGGTTTCTCACTTTATTGTTTTATCTCTTTCATTCCTTATTGAACATTTTCTGGACAAAGACAAAACACTCTTATATAGCAAAGTGCCTTGCATTATATACTATATGATATAATTACAGTTGATGGCATTATACATCAATAATGAATGTTAATACCAGCTCCTAAGATTGTAGTCTGATTGGTTCTGTTTTATTTCAGGCAAAAGCAAACAGTCTTCAGTCGTGCGTGATTATTATTCGCGTTATGCGTGACATGTGCCAGAGAGTGCCAGCATTCAGTCCAGTCACCGACTGGGTAGGTATAATAGTTTTACCAAGAGGCAGAAGTACATATGTTTTTCATGTCATAATACTGGTCTGTTTAATATTCATTAGGCACTGGAATTGCTGGTTGAAAAGTCTCTTAGCAGCAGCGAGCACCCACTGGGTCCTGGTGAAGCCTTCAGGCGAGTCATGGAATGTATTTCATCTGGACTCTTCCAAGAAGGTAGATAATAAATCTTTTATTTAGAGAGGGTAGCACTAAATAGAAAGCTATGCTAATAAACTTTTGGCCCTCAAAAGAATCTGATATCTATATACCTATTTCAATAAAGTTAGACACTAAAATCTAAAAAGCCAAGATCAATGGAAAAATTTCATGTCTAACGAATAAGGCTTTTGATATGAACTGCAGTTTGAACATGCTCACAGGAGCTGAAACTGTAACTGGTATATAAGTTACAAAAGTGGGATGCAGTGTTTTCCCATTTCAGATCATGGTTCACCTTGTTTTTCTTTCTCCATAAAATCRTGTTTCAAAAGTCAATTCATCCTTGGAACAAATGCCACAGGTCTATTAGTCACCAGGTGCTTTGTTCATTTAAAGTGCCCCTTGGACGAAAATTGCTATCTTTTCGTACAAACTTGAAACTTCGTCCAAATAATCCATACTACCCTATTAATCACCTGTAGAAATTTTTTCTTCATATTCCGACGGGAAGTTTGAAAATTTTGCGTTTTTACTACCGGCCGCCATTAATTTTTCATCTACACGGCCAAAAGGAKTATTTTCGGTCAGCGGTGTTCTCGTGACGTCATTTACTCTACTCATTCCAAAACGCTGGCGTCTTTCCTCTTGTTTCTTYGTAAAGTTAGAGAAGTTAGAAGCTAGTTTACTGTAGATTTTTTTAAAGTTTTTATGCTCATATCAGCGACCGAGTACGATATTTTCCTTGTCGACCTTTCTGTTGCTTCAAAAACATGGAAAATGTCAACAGCNTGCTGCTCAGCACCAGATCCTTTGGATGCCATGTGTAAAGGAAGTCCTCGTATTTCTTCGCTCGTACGCGTTTGCGCAGTGTCTTGCATTGCTCGGCATCACTAAGGCCCCTCAATTCCGCTTTCAGGTTTCTTATTTGATCCTTGCTGCGGTAGTCGGCGTTAATTTCCTCCGCATGGTCTACGAACCCCTTTAGCCATTCGTGGGGCATCTCTCCGGCTATTGGAGGAGGCTGGCAGGGATCTCCGGCGAATATTACTTGACATTTCCCGCAAAGGAATTCTACGAATTCTTTGAGGATTTCTAAAGGAACGGTACAGATTTCGTCCCAAAGTATTACTGGTGGTATGTCGTGGATGGCTTCCGGCACCCACTTTTGGCCATTCCAACGAAAGAAGCTGTGGTAGGTCTGCGCGTCGTGGCCCATTTCGCAGAGTTCTCGTTCCAAACGGTGCGTTGGCGTTAGCACCTTTATCTTAGGAAAGAGTTCTAACACACGCGTCGTCTTACCGCTGCCTCCCGTACCGTAGAGGTAAGAGAAGCGTTGGTAGGAAATGGGGTCGGCAACTGAAGGTAGAGGCTCTTTGGTAGGCGCTACGGAACCACGGGTGTGCTCGCCGTGATATTCTACGCGTGCCCTCCAGGCTCTTATCTCCTCATCTTTAACGCACCATTGTCCACTTTCTGCGAGTTCATCGGCAGTGTAGAATTCCTTCATCTTTTCCAACACGCTAGGCTTTACGTATAAGGAATCCGTGGCTACGCGTGGAATGTCTTCTTTGTCAAACCGCAAGAGCATTGCGAGAAGGTTAATGTGCGCGTAGGCAAGCATGCTGGCGCGAAGATGGTAATACTGCGGTCGATGGTCCTGGTAATGACACAGCGCATTCCATTCGTGTAGTTTATCGTCGACAAGGTAGTCCCATTTCTCTACAGACACCATCGTTCCTTTGTCATGCGCGCGCTTGATGAGGAAGCTTAGCTCGCCTTCGTCCGTTATTAGGCGCCGCTGCATATGTTTTTCACCTTCTTTTGCGCCCTGCGTGAATTTACCTATGACCACACGCGCTGTGGGGTTATGCTCCGGTAACCATTACGTAAAGGCGCTGTGACAAAGTATGGCTTCATGCGCTGTGTATTTTAAAAGTTTGCGCTCTTCAAAGAACTTCAATAGGGGCAC